TCGTCATCCATCCACCCATCTACCCATCCATCCTTCCACCCATCCTTCCCCCCAACTTCCTCCTCTTTCTTCTCTTCCTTCCCCTCATCCATCCATCCATCCATCCACCCAACTTTCTCTTCTTTCTCTTCTTCCTTCCACTCATCCATCCACCCAACTTTCTCTTCTTTCCTGTCATCCATCCATCCACTCTTCCTTCCATCCTTCCCCTCAATCTTTCCATCCATCCATCCACCCATCCTTCCCCCCAACGTCCTCCTCTTTCCCCCCCTCCTTCCCCCCATCGCTCACCGTCCTCGGTGGGCACGTAGACGTTGAGGAACAGACAGTCCTCGCTCTGCTCCCTCAGGAGTCCGGCCACGGCCTCCAGGTTGGCGCTGAGCCAGCTGGGCAGCATGTCTCTGGGCAGCGTCCGTTCGTCCAGCCGTTGAGGACAGACGGGGGCGAACTGGGTGGCGTTACGGACGCCCGGCCAGGCCGTGGGGGGCTCGGGGGGTTGGAAGCGTCGTGGGCCCACGGGGGGGGCGGCGTAGGGGACCCCCAAGAACTGCTGGACGGGGCCCAGCAGCTCGCTGGGCAGCGAGGCCCGGAGGCCACGCAGGTGGCCGTACTGGGTGCGCACCACGGGGTCGTCCTCCGACCCCTGACCCCCCAGGGTGGACGGGGTCACCACCAGGTAGAGGGTCCAGGTCCACCAGGCCACGCGGCCCTCCATGACATCGGACCTGTGGGACTTTGGGGGGAGAGTGGACTCCTTCGACAGTGCTCGCTGCGCCCCGAAGAGAAAAGAGGTGGCCCCGGGAAGGCTGGACAAGGGCCTAAAAGAAGAAGTGGACTCCTTGTACAGTGCTCACGACGCTCCAAGAGCAAAATACAGCCCCAGGAAGGCCGTACAGGGGCTCAAAACAGAAAGTGGACTCCTGAAACAGTGCTCACGACGCTCCAAGAGCAAAATACAGCCCCGGGAAGGCCGTACCAGGGGCTCAAAACAGAAAGTGGACTCCTGAAACAGTGCTCACGATGCTCCAAGAGCAAAATACAGCCCGGGGAAGGCCGTACGAGGGGCTCAAAACAGAACGTGGACTCCTGAAACAGTGCTCGGTATGCTCGTAGAGCTAAACACAGCCTGGGGAAGGCCGTATGGGGGGAGTAAAGAAAGAGTGGACTCCTGAAACAGTGCTCACGATGCTCCAAGAGCAAAATACAGCCCCAGGAAGGCCGTACAAGGGCTCAAAACAGGAAGTGGACTCCTTAGACAGTGCTCACGACGCTCTAAGAGCAACATTCAACCCCAGGAAGTCCACACAGGGAGGAGCAAAGCCAGAGTAGACTCCTCGTACAGTGCTCCCGACGCTCCGAGAGCAAAATACGGCCCCGGGAAGGCTGTCCCGGGCGGGGAGAGGGGGGAACCCCACCCCCAGAAGGGGGACAATGGGCCCACCAAAGCACAGGCCCCTCCCCGTCCCCTGGTCGGGACCCCCAACATCCACCAAGATGGCGCCCGACCTGGACGGGGGGGGGGGGGAGAGAAGAGGAAGAAAGAGAGAAATGTGATATCATCAATCCCATGTATCATGTGATATACACGTGTGTGACCTCTGACCTTCCATAACCCGACTTGTGACCTCCCACAACATGACCTCTGACCTTCTATATCTCACCTCTGACCTTCCCTCACCTGACCTGTAATCTTCTATCTCCTGACCTCTGACCTTCCAAATCTCACCTCTGACCTTCCATCATCTGACCTGTGATCTTCTATCACCTGACCTCTGACCTTCCTTAGCTCACCTCTGACCTTCTATCACCTGACCTGTGACCTTCTATCACATGACCTCTGACCTTCCATAACCCGACTTGTGACCTCCCACATGACCTCTGACCTTCTATATCTCACCTTTGACCTTCCATCACCTGACCTGTGACCTTCTATCACATGACCTCTGACCTTCCATAACCCGACTTGTGACCTCCCACAACATGACCTCTGACCTTCTATATCTCACCTTTGACCTTCCATCACCTGACCTGTGACCTTCTGTCACATGACCTCTGACCTTCCATAGCTCACCTCTGACCTTCTATCACCTGACCTGTGACCTTCTGCCTCATGACCTCTGACCTTCCATGACCCGACCTGAGACCTCCCAAAACATGACCTCTGACCTTCTATCTCACCTCTGACCTTCCCTCACCTGACCTGTAATCTTCTATCTCCTGACCTCTAACCTTCCAAATCTCACCTCTGACCTTCTATCACCTGACCTGTGACCTTTTATCACCTGACCTCTGACCTTCCAAATCTCACGTCTGACCTTCCCTCACCTGACCTGTGACCTTCTATCACATGACCTCTGACCTTCCATAGCTCACCTCTGACCTTCCGTCACCTGACCTGTGACCTTGTCACATGACCTCTGACCTTCCCAATCTCACCTCTGACCTTCCATTACTTGTCCTGTGATCTTTTATCACCTGACCTCTGACCTTCCCAATCTTACCTCTGACCTTCCATCACCTGACCTGTGACCTTCAGTCACATGACCTCTGACCTTCCATGACCCGACCTGAGACCACCCAAAACATGACCTGTGACCTTCCACAGCTCACCTCTGACCTCCCATCACCCGACCTGAGACCTGTTGCCACATGACCTCTGACCTTCCATCCCCTGACCTCTGGATCCCTTGACCTCTAAACTTCTATCCCATGGCCTTTGCCCTTCCACCACATGTGACCCAGAACACGTGACACACGTGACATGCATGACCTGGAACACGTGACACACGTGATCCAAGCGACCCAGAACACGTGACGTGTATGATGTAGAACACGTGACACGTGACACATATGACCCGGAACACGTGACATGGATGACATGTATCCCGTGCGAGATGACACATAACACGCAACACGCATGTAGCGTGTTCGACGCGGAGGACACATCGCACGTAACACACCGCCTACAACACGCCACGTGGTCGATCCGTGTTCTAGCATGAACGATAACACGCAACACGTGTGACACACGTGACCGACACGTGTCTAGGTCCTGTATACGTACGTGTCAGAACTATACACGTGTGTGTCTATGTCACGTGTTATGTACATGCGTGTACAGGTCATAAACACACACGTGTGTGGATCATAAATACATACGTGTCCGGATCATGTGTTATACACGCGTGTCGGGATTGTATATGATCTACACAGTCTGGATCGTACGTACACGTCTACGTCATGCACGATACACACGTGTGTCTCGATGACACCTCACAGACACACGTGTCTGGATCACACACACCGACATGCGTAGATCATGTATCACATACGTGTCTGGATCGTGTGTTTTATATATATACATGTCTAGGTCATGTGTACATGCGTGTTGGGATCACGTGTGGCATGGACGCTATGTACATACGTGTATCCAAATCATACCCTGCATGGACATGTCCACATCATGTATACATACATGTCTAGACCATGTATTGCATGCACATGTCTGGGTCATACATGATGTCCATCCATGTCGACATCGTGTATTACTTACACGTGTGTTTTCCGGTCTGGATCACATGTCAGGTACCTACGTGACACAGTGACATCCAATGTATATACGTATCCGGATCACACGTTACGGACACGCGTGTTCGGATCACGCGATGTACATGTCTAGATCATGTATACACGCATGTGGATTCCATGTCACGCACACGTGTCTGGATCGTGTGTTATGAACATACGTGTCTGGATCACGTGTCACATGTGCACACGTCCAGGTCATGTGAACACGCGTGTTATGGCATGTTACGTCCATACGTGTCCAGATCA